AGAACCTATCAGCGATAAGGCAGGTGTCACGGAACCTTGCTACTCTTATATATGGCCCAATCTGTGGCCTCAGCCTGTTTGTGTGTGTGCACGTTTTGCCGGTCTGCACGCCTGTCTGAGTGCTCGTCGGACTGAGTGAGTGTGTGCCTTGCAAGGGCACTTGGTCACTTAGAAGGCCCGAAGGCCCGGTACTTAGCCGTGACTGCGACATTAAGGGTTGCGGCGGCGGAAATACTCAAATACCAGGCGGCCGCTACCTCACCAAGTAAAGGATGATGCGCCGAGTAGTCGAGGCCGAGCATAAGAAGACAAAAGTTGACACTTTTAGATACCTAATACAGGTAGATAGCCAGGTAGCATTCCCAAGTCTTAGTGTGCGCCGTAAATGTACCTGACACAGATTCTAACCTAATCAACCCCTCGACCTCTTCTGTCGACGGGGTATTTCTACCGGTTGTAACCATTACAGTGCGTGTTATAACAACGCGCGCATATACTTTCGAAATTTCATCACCAATTCACCCCGGCCTCTTTGGCCGAGGAATTCGTTTTCAAGTGTCACGTTAAAGCGTGCATACCCTTTTCACTCCAGCCCGACTCCGTCATGGTAGCCGAAGTCGTCATTGTGTCGAATGCAAAAGTATGGCCAAATACCCTTGTAAGGGTATTTTGGTCCGATAGTATCCCAGACCACTTTAAGCGACGTCCCCGTTGCCCGGAGAACTATATGCAAACAAGATATTTTCAGACAAGCAATTCGTCAAATCCGAATCCTGGGGTGAGATGTGGTTTAGGATTGACGTTGTCACCTCACTTTTCATTACTACTGCCGGGATTTTAACCCGAGTCTCCCACATTATAAAATAACTGAATGACTTGAAGTGGGGATACTTGATCTGTACTATAGCATATGAAATAGTTAAGTATGACAACGCACCTTTCCTTTCCCCACTCCCTTAGACTTTCGATCCAGGTATTCGTTGGTTGTTTTCGGGGTTGGTGCTCGTGTACGAACTCATCCCGTCAAACGCGGGTCCTAACCGAGACCTTGGTCGTTCAACTCTTGATATTACTTGTCCAAAGTCGCCTGCTGTCCTGCTCGAAGCCTAGTATAGGAGGACAACGGTCTCCATCATGACCCACCACAGTCCTGCTGATCAGGCCGGAGCTGCGGCCCACCGCATTGTTGCTTATCGGTGGTTACCCTCGTTGGTTGCGCAACGATGAGATATTCATCCCAAGACTAATGTCGACTTCTTCGATACCCACCTGAATAGGTCCCTTCACTGGGGTGACCATCCCTTCTAGTCCCTCTTCTAGGCCATAGTCGAAGGGTCCGCTGCCCGGTTATGCTAGGCCAGTAGGCCACGCTGGGAGTTATGTCCCAACGATGCCAATTTTCCACCATAGGCTTGATAATTTGTGCCCTCAGGTTAACCCTTGAAGTGGATCAATGATGCTTCTTCTCTATACCCTTAAAGCAAGCAAAGGGTCCAGCGTGACACCCCCCCCGTGCCCAGCAGAAACCGGCGCGGAGGCGGAGGGTTCCAAACGGYGCGGTAGTGGACGGGTGCGGGACCAGGAGGACGGAAGCGTGCGCAGGCCACCGAGAATGCGGGCGGAGGGTGGCAAGATCGAGCGGCCGGAGGCCGACGGGTCCGTGACGTGCGGAATGCGGCGGCGGTACCACGGACTGTACAGGCTCTTT